TTTGGCACCCCCAGTATTTTCACTAATAAGATCATGAGCAGGTTTCTCATCAGAAATTGGAGAATAGAGAGTAGTGAGTTGATATATTGAAAGTACTGAAAGAGAAAATATGTCAATCAAAAATCTTATAGCTGGCTAAATGGTCCTTCAAAAATTAGGGAGAAATTAAGACATTCCCAGATAAACCAAAGCTGAGAGTTTTCTTTACCACTAAACCTGCCCTGCATGAAAGGAGTCCTTCGGGTTGGAATGAAAGGACACTGGACAGTAACTGAAAATCTCATGAAAAACATATCTGTATTAAATTAAATACATGGACAATTATAGAAACTAGTACTATTGTAACTTTGGTTTGTAGTTTCACTTTTTGCTTCCTTCTTGATTTAAGAAACTAAAGTATTTTAAAAACCAATTGTTGTCTATGTATTTTGGACACACAGGGCATGAATGTGTGATTTTGTGACATTAATAACTGAAAGAAAGTGAAGTCAGAACTATACAAAGTAGAGATTTTATATGTTCTTGAAGTTAAGCTGGTATAAATTCACATAAGAGTGTTGTAACCTTAGGCTGTTGGGTCATTCAGATGACCAAAATATATTTCTCAAATATAAAATAATAATAATAATAATAATAAATAAAAAACAATAACCACCAATGATGTATTAGTAAACCACAGGTAGAGGAACCTGTAGTCTACACCATCTGCATTTACTCCTCACTCCTCCATTTCTTGACCAAGAACCTAAAGACATAAAATGATAGCTCTCTGTCTTTATCCTGTTTTTGTTTGTCTTGACTGGCTTTCACACTTCCATACTTATCTATCTGTGCTCTCTGACCCCTGTGACATGCAGAGTAAGGTGTCTATAATCTGCTCATGCTCGTGGCTGGCTCACTTTTGCCATTACTGACCATGGAGTTTTGTTTCTATCAGAAGTCCCTGGAAATGCTAGGCACTTATGGAGGCATTAACTCTCCAGGGCTCTCACAAGAGGCAGAACACTGTAACTGTAATGCTCTCAGTACCCTCTTAGCTGTCCCAAAGGAGAGGGGTTTCCCTCACGCCTGCCTTACTTAGCACAAAGGGGCAGCACTTAGGGCTCATTGTACTCCCTAGCTTTGGTGTGCTTTCCCTTTATCACTGGTATTAGTAACTTTTTGATCCATGATAGGAAATGATTATACCATTTTAGGGACAGGGAAGAACACATCCTAATGTGTAGCTATTTGACCAAGTAGCAATAAAAGGCCTGTGTTTATATGACTTGTGCAGGTCAGACTCATCACTATACTAGTCATCAGTTCATGCACCACTGTCCTTGCTAGGAAGGAATAATGCCACCGATAGTGCAGCCGGCAACATGCAAGAGGGTCTGCCATGACCGATGGTCAGTCACCTTTCCTAGGCCTCAGTGGGGACATGGAGACCTTCTCAGCTGACATGTGATTTCACCCACTGCCCCCAGAATCTTGTGGATCCTGGTTCTCATGCTGCCTTTGAAATGCATGAAGCCTTTTCCAAAATGAGAAAGCCTGTATCTGAATGGCATTCTCCAGGGAAGCAGTCAATTCCTGTCTTTCCCAGAATCCTCAGGATTCTCCTCAGTACTTGTCATTGATGTCAACAGCAAGAAAATAGATGTATGTGGTGGTGTAGAGATAGGGAGCACCCCAAAAAAAATTAATCAACATAAGTAAAAACAATTTCATTTTGTTGTTTCCGAAGAACGTATCCTCTGATTTTAAAATTGAAGACAACATAAACTGAATTTTATGTTAAATGTGTGTTTTTAGACTTTATATTCACATCAAAATATGTTTATACTCCCCATGTTATAACAGGTTCTGGGAAGAAACAAGACATAAGAAAGAACAGAGAAAAGCACACACACACACACACACACACACACACATACACATGCCTGGAAGTGATATAGAGATTTAGAAAAGCAGTAGCAAAAAAGGAGACAATGGCAGGCTTATCAGGAGACACCCTTTGAAATAATATTACTATCTTATTATTTGATTTTATTCTCCCTTGAGGGTAGGTATCCTCAGGTAACTGCTAACCTATCTACAAATACCTGGGGGGGGAGGGGAAGAGAAAGAAATGATCTTAAGGATCCCCAAACTCCAACTCCTCTACCCAGACTCATTGATCCATCCTCGCATCATTAACGGAGTGACAGCTAGACATCATGTGTCTCCAGGGGTGGTACAACAAGAAGATGCAGCTATGCAGTATCTTACCACAAAATCAAGCCTGATCTTGGACCGAAATTGTAAAAGATACAACAATAACAGAATACGTTAAATCTCGCCACAAGGAAGTAATCAGCCAAATTTAGATCGTGGGAAATAGTATAGAGCAAATGAAAAAAAAAAAAAAGGTGGGAAGTGGAAATGTTTACTGATTAAAAGAGATCTAAGAGACATACTAGGGAAATACAATGTGTACACCTTGTTTGGATTCTGATTTCAACAAGCCAACAATAATGAGATGTTTTTAGATCATTATGAATATGGACTAGATAGTAAATGATATTAAGAAATTGTTGCCTATTTTGAGAGGTATGCTAATGAGTAGGTAATAAAACAAAAAGAAATTCTTATCAGTTGAGCAAGGCTCCTCAACCTCAGCACTATTAACTCTGGAACAGAGAATTCCTTTTAGTGGGGGCTGTACTGTGCATTGGGGGATATTTAGTGGCATCCTTGGTCTCTACCCACTAGGTGCCAGCAGCACCCTACACACACACCCCCACCAAATTGTGACAGCCAATTGGTAAATGTCCCCCGGTTAAGAATCAGAGTTAGAGAATCCTAGAGATAGGCTGATGAATAACATGACATGATGTCTAGGATTTGCTTTTAAATATTCTAACCCTCCTCCCAAAACAAAAAGTTTTGGTGGATAGATGAAACTTGATTAGCATAATTTTTATTTTACTTGAAGCTGGATGGTGAGAACAAAGCATTCATAATACCATTCTCTCTACTTCTACATATGTTTGATTTTTTAAAATCAATCTCTTACTAAATCCTAAGGCAGGGTTGCCAATAGACTTTCAGTGCTTCCTCTCAAGGCTGCTTCACTGTCTTCTTGGAAACCTCGTGTCAGACATACTTCCCAGTGCCTGGAGTAACCCTCCAGGATGCCTACCTGGCATCGTAGGACTAAACTCAGTCTACTTCACTACTTTATCATTCCATGTCGCTAAAGCCCAAAAGCAGAAAATACTAGCTATAAGCAGAACTGACATTAAAGACAAAAGTAGTGGATTCCTAGAAGTCCCCCACGCCCCGACCGGTACTATCACTAACAGAAAACACCTTCCCCTACTGCCTCATCACCAGTTGATGAATAAACTTCAAGACTTTAAATCTCCCTTCTAATCTCATCTTTTTATCTTTTAGTTTAAATCCTTATGAAGCTACAGTAGGATAAAGGGGGCAGACATTGGGCTATGTCTCCCAGAATGTAGAGAAATCCGAGTGGAGAAATGAGATAGAAAGATAGGGAGGGAGCCGAAGGAGTCCATCTCCTGAGGTGTGCAGGAGGGAACAGAAGATACAGGAAGAGTAGGTACCAAAAAGTGAAAGTGGAAAGATAGAAATGTTGTCAGCTATTTCACATTATGACTAAAGTGTCTATTCCACACCACAGAGTCACTGAACTGAGCTAATGGGAGTGAATTGCTAGGTGGGGGTATAACTGACGTGTAAAACAGTCTCTGCTGCTTTGAGGCTTATAATTTAGTGGGAGGGAGAAAACTTACACGCCTGAGTGAAGGAATCAGAGGACAATTCATTGTGTTGCTGAACACCCTCAGCCCCACATGGGGTACAGCTGATGGCATAGGAGTTGCTTCTGGCAGGCTGAGAAAGCAGTGCGTCTGAGGTAGGACCAATAGTCTTCACAGAGGAAAAGAGATTTCAACTGAACCTCAGTAGGATTTAGAGCTGCTAAAACTTGTCGCATGAGAGAAACAAGCGCAAAAGTATTCAACAGATACTACCCTCACCTTCCAAAGGCTTAGTATAGAATCAGAATATGCACAGAATCTTTGTCAAACAGGTGGAGACTAGATTGACTGGAGATGGGGGTGTTTATCCAGAGAAATGGAACTGGTATGTTGTGTGTGTATATCGATATCTATTGAGAGAGAGAGAGAGAGAGAGAGAGAGAGAGAGAGAGAGAGAGATTTTTAAGGATTTGGTTCATGTGCTATTGTGGAGGCTGCACGTCTGAAACCTGCAGGGAAAGCCAGCAGACTGGAGACCCAAGGAAGAGCTGGTGTTGCCTCTTGAGTATGAAGGCTGAATTCTGGAGGCAGAATTCCTTCTTCCTCAGGGGACAACAGCCTTTGCTCTTAAGGCCTTCAACTGATTGACTAAGACCCACCCACATTGTAAAGGGCTCTGCTTTATTCAAAGTCTATTGATTTAAAAGTTCATCTCATCTCAGGAATACCTTCACAGTGACATCTAGACTGGTGTTTGAACAACCATCTTGATATGATGGTCCAGCCAAGTTGACACCTAAAATTCTCCATCACAGGGTGTGTGCATGGAAGGGACATAGATCGATAGTTGGGTGGTATGAAAGCTGGACGAGGATGATTCTTGGGCCATGAGCCAGCAGGATGCTGTGGGAAGATTAGACTAGAGCTGTATCTAGTGGTTTGGTGACTTTATACTACCCTGTCATCTTTGCCCATGGCAACCAAAAGCAATATTTTGCATCGCTCTTCAATTACTATGTGGTTGGCTCTTCTCACCAAGGAAATCAGTCCTATCCTCTGATGTGTATACCTGCTTGCCATGCCCTAATCTGAGAAGCAGGAAGCCCTGGTTTTTCAGTTGTTTGTTGCTACAGTCATATACACAGACACACCCAAAAGCTATTTTGCATTTCGAAAAGCCTGGATGATTAGAAAGGAAATTCCGTTTTTAATTTTGAAGTTCTTTAAAGCAATTCCTATTTTCTGTTTTAGGTCGAAATAAGTAAATGACATGGACTCTGAAATGCAACTGCTGAACTTGACTTTAGAAGCAAAGCACCATTGACAGCTCCTCTCTGCATCAACACATCTCACTTTCTTCCAGAGGATGGACTCCGCCTCCCTGCCTTCCCACAGATCACAGAGTTCTTCGATCACAATCTATGTATTATTAGCATTGTGTGCTAGATGAGTTGTAGGTGCTTGGGTGGGTATTTTTTTAGTCATTTTCTTCTTATATGAGTACTTGTAAATTGAAAAAATTGATTTTTAATTTTTTTAACAATATTTAACATGGCGCATGCAAACTGAAAAAAAAATGCTGTGAAAACCTTCTACAGACAATTCTATGAGAAATATTGGTTGGTATTGTTGAGGTGTTAAGTCAAGATCGCTAATAGCTGCAGTTCTCTTAGGCCTAATGGAGTTTGCATTAGCAGACATTACTTGGGGTTACTAGAAAGGACGTTAGATGCTGTGACAGCTGATGCATGGGTACAAATAATGGATCTGGCTTTCAAATGGAGCATGGATCATTTTTGCAGCATCACAAGCCAAAACATGCAGCCTCCCTTGGTTCTCAGCTTCCCAAAATCCAGAACACTATGATGGCAATCTAAATTTTCAGATCCTTACAGATATCTTGTTCTTCTTATGTTCTGAAAAAATGTAGCTCATGGGTGTATGGAAGAGTGAAATGCTTAGTAGAAAACCTTTCCCCCTTGGAGGGAATGTGGGTATCTCTGAGATTCGTATTTTCTGCTCTTTATCCCAGTCCTGACACTGGTGTCAGACCTAAACCACAGCGTGTGGGCAGGTGGGACAGAAATCGCAACCATCAATCTGTAATCGGGAATGTTGCTCTGAAGACATTCAAAAGGAGCATTAAAATGTTGTGGAATTCTCTATAAATACTTCAAAAGAAGGTATTTATATTTGTTCTACATCAACTTTTCTTTCTCCTACCCCATCCCAATAACCAAGAAAGTAATATCAGAAACATCATTTGCAATGGGAAAAAAAAAGACTGTCTTGAAAACCCATCATAGTTTTTTTCATTTCTATCTTTGAATTACTACTTCTCACATCAAAATAAGTTTTACTCACTTTGTATAATAACCAAGATGAGACCTCTATAGGCCGCAGAATGCGGTAGACTTGCACTATTTAATCCAGGAGTTGTGGACTTGGCCCATACATCTCTAAGAAGTCAGTCTACAAACCACCTAAAATTGTATGCAAATTTCTGTATGTATGTCGAGGTTCCTTTTTTCTTCTTCTTTTTGAAGTCCACATATTTTATGAGACTCGTTTAAGAATCAGAACTTATACAACCAAGTCTGCCTGGTTTCTCCCGGTTCATGGCAACTGCTGTGGCCTGTCTGGGGGCCTGTCTTACTCATTAGCCTCTGGCTTGTGCTGCTCCAGTCAGCTGACACCCACTGAATCTCACCACTTTTCATTCTACTGAAAAAACCCAAATTCAAAATGAAGAAGAACGAACAGGGACCTGGGAGATGGTCAAATCCAAGCCACCATGGCAAGTGAGGGACCTGAAGCGTAGGGGACGTAGGGGACTCATCCAGAGTCCTGCCTGTGCACAGAGGAACAGAGCTACAGCCGAAGGAAGGAGGGCTTGGAAGGCAAACGGTGGGATTTGGCTCCCAGGTCCCTCGCTGTGTCCTTGGACTGTGTTGGACATCTCAGCCTTGAGTTTTTCTCATCTACCAAGTGGGACTATACTCCCTTACCTCCCAGGGGTGAGGGGAGGGTTAGATAAAAATGTAAACAAACACTCTCTAAACTGTGAAGCACTCCATAACTGAAAGAGGCTGTCATAATTATAATGTCAGAAGAGCAAGTTGGACCCAGTCCGGAGCTCTTGGGTTGCACTCCAGTGCTGTGCAAAACCCATGGAAACACCAAACTCCTAAGTTTTCTAAAGAGTAGCTTGAAAAATTGCCGACGGTTAAGTGATTAGTACTAATGCAGACTACAAATCGCATTTCTTAATTAAAAAATAACTTTTACATTCAAATTCCAAGACTAATATTATTATGGAGAAGGCTACTAGAACATCAAAAACGTAGAAATTCAGTCAGAAGAATAAAATTAATATTTAAATATCTTAAACTGTCTTTCCATTGCCCCCACACGCACAAACAAAACCTAGTTAACGTTTTATAAAATAGTACCATACTAACTTTTGTTGCTGTTTTATCTTCGTTTGTAAACTTCTGCATACTTCTAAGATGCACACGGCCATGGATCATATCTACCCTGCAAGTAACAGATTTGAGGGGGAAATCCTTACGTTAGTGGTTTTTGTATGGAAATTTAACAAAGGCAACTACAGAACATGGTATGTGTGTTTTGGTTTTTAAACTTTCTTCATTTAAATAATTAAGTTATATTTGTTTCAAGTCCCAAGTTCAGGAATTCATAATGATAATTGTGAAGTTCCAGAAAATTTGCCATTCGTCAGAAACAAGTTAGAGAGATCTTTCTCTCCTTCCCATGTTTCTTCTCCCTATCTCTCCTCTTCCTGGCTACTAATTAGAGGTTCTGCTTACTTACAACAAAGCGTTGAAAAGGGTGAAGAATTGTGAGATGACACTCGGCAGGTACCCCTGATCCGGGTGACTCTGATGTAGTATTGTCACATGTCACAGGTGCTGCTCTTAAAGTGTGAGCCTTTCCAGTTCTTGCAGCTTTTGCTTCTGTTTTAGGGAATCCACTCTGCACTGTGCATCACATAGTAGGGCTTTCAAAAAGACACATTCACTGTCTTTACATTCTTGCCAAATCTTGGCTTCTCCATATGCAAGTGTGTGTCTGGTCAGAGGAAGGGAAAATGAATGCATCTCTTCGCCTGTACTCATTTGCCAGAACCTCGCTCAACATCCTAAGAGGTTCAAGTGCTCTTCTCAGAGGTGGTCCTGGTAAAGCTGAACATAGGACATTCACTGCCCGTGAACCCCTAGTTCTGACTGGAGTGTAGAAGGGGAAAGGTAAAACCAATGTTTTTCCCTCTTTAAACCTCTTTGGCATTGTGTCTTGTAAGCCTTAGCCAACTCTGCCCTAGGCTGTGTCTTCTATCTTGTGATGATGACTTATCCTTTCCTAAGTGTCTCCTGCTGACATTGTGCGGAGCCACAGACAGCTAGGATGCTTTCCAGTTTACCTTCTATTTATTTCAGCTTCCAGTCATGTTTCAAAGCCACAAAAGTTAAGCAGGGGAGTTACAGGGGATGGGGGATTAGAGAATTTCCAGGGGACAAAACATCTTGGGGTGTGGAACAGTCTATATCAGAGAAATATCAACCACTTCTTTCAGGAAAAGCTCTAAGCTAGTTTGTCCCCAAGTATCTTAGCCTTTCACTGGCAGTATAATATGGGGTATGTGGGCCTGAAATGAAAGCATATGTCCCTACCACTCCAAATCTGAGAGGCTGTTGGCTCACTTGTTTTGAAGATAACTTGACATCTCGGCCTAGCAAAATATTGACTTCTTCCTTTTTTCCTTCAGAAAAATAAGCCCTGCTATTTTCTATAGACCTAAATAAGGGACGCAGCAAGTATCAAGGGACTGGATCTAACAAAATATAGCAAGGCTGCCAGCTGTCTCACTGAATGAATGGGACAGTCATGATTGAGAAGAATTTGTCTTCATTAGAACCAGCTAAAATGTACCTTGAAAAGCTGAGGAAAACCATCATGACTCTGCTAAATTGAGAATCAAATAAAAGCCAAAGTTGCTCTTTTCAGCCTTTGCAAATTAGAAAAGAATCTTGCCAAGAATAAACTCATCTTTATTTTAGACCAAATTAAAATTTTATAGTATCCAAAAATGTGGACTCACTACGAAATGAATATTCTGGCTAATTATTTCTTAAAGCAAACATTCACTTATCATTCTGACTACTTTAGTTTGTAACTAGAACTTTTACAGTGGATTAGAATTCAAATGTGCTAGCGCTTGACATTTTAGTTGCTTTCAAGGGATAACTGAATTAAGTAGGGCAAAATACAAATAA